CTAGGGATAAGAATCATCTAACCAACAAGAAGCCAATACTTGACATTATGAGTCAATATAAAATTCCCATTCTTTGGATTGAAAACAAGCAAGCAGAGATACTAGACCTCTTGAGAGAACCAAACTTCAAGTGTATTAAGTCTTCACAAAAATTGAGCAGAGTAACGGCTGTATACGGGTGAATTCCAGATTACAAACAAAGTATGTAATCACAATAACCTGCACACAAAACAAACAAACAACCCAATATCTTGAGTTAAACCTCAAGAACTTTAGAGAAAATATCAATTAAGGTCACAAGGTCTCCAACATAGGCCAAGGTTTCTAATCCTAAGTCCAAGAAGTTCAATACTCCATAATGCCAATGATAGTAACCAAATAGTCCAAGTATCATTAAAGTTTTTTATGGCTCATATTAATTATTAAGTATCTTAAAAAAGAAAAGAAAAGCTCAAGTGAGCAAAATAAAAATGATAAGAATATAAAGGGGCTCAAGTGAGCAAAGATGAAAAATAGCATGAAATGAAATGCTTAAAGTAAATGGTGCATAAAATAAAAGGACATATAATAAAAACACAAGATAAAGACAATTATTAGTAATTAGTGGTTAGTTGGATGACCATCTTGAAACTTGCATTTGGAACTCATTAGAAGATTGGTAGAACCAAATCCTCCACACAACAAGTTGCATTTTCTTTTTGTCAAGTATATCATCCATTTGGAAATTCTCACAAGTACCATTTAATGATCAACGATGTTTAAGTGATCCGCGTTGAACAAAAGTGATGTAGATCCATTAGAGGATTGGTAGAACCAAACCTCCACACAATGAATCTCAAGGTTATTGGATCAAAGAGATCAAATTAACATACTTGGGCTTGCAAACATAGGTTTGGGCCACAAATAATCATTTATTCGAATCGGGACAAAATTTAGCGCTATGTTAAGCAATCGTAAGTGAACTTATATAGAAGTCGCACCTATTTTGAGGTCGATCAATAGCAATCTATGCACCATTTGTTTTGAGACATGATATAGAGATCATGCTCCAATAACACTTAGTGAAATAAGAAAGGGATGAGATGAAGAATGGTGGGGGAAAATATACAAACCACATTTGAATTAAATTTTAATCAAACTATTATTAAAATCATTCATCCATTTTTATGGAGTTAAACTCAATACCATGGATCCAATGATGTTAACAAAGTTCATGATCAAAAATTCAATCCAAGATCAGCCAGAAAATAATCACAAAATAATAATACATTTATTATATACATTAAAAAGGTTTTTAAAATATTTTAAAATAGAAAATATAAGAGAAAAATATCAACCATGTTCAAATTAATAAAGAAATAATAAGTAAGACCATAAAAAAATCAGAGATGAACTCAAATATTTTTGTAAAATTTTTGGTAATTTTTTAAAGTCAGAAACTATTTTTAAACTGATTAAAATAGATCAAAAATAGTAAACATCAATATAAAATTCTATAAAATTTTCAAAAAGTCAAAAATATGTAAAATGATATTTATGATTTTTTTTAGAATTAAAAAATGTCAGAAAATATTTTTAAAGTAATTAAAAGGAAGCAAATAATGCAAAAAATATAAAAAATATCAAATATCAAAATAAAAATGTGAAAAAATAGTCATGAGATCAGAAATAATTCAAAGTATTTTTGTGAATTTTTTTCATACTTTTTGGATAAAAAATAAAATAGTTATGAATTTTTGAAAATTAAATCAATTAAAATATAAAATCGGAAAATAAAATAAAACCAAAAAGATGTGGGCCATCAGATCATAGTCAAAACGCGTTAGTAAGCTGATCCAATGGACCAGACGCGCTGTACTTGATATGGACCTTAGTGAGATACGCATAGGATCAGAAAAAAGGCAACCAATGAAATCAAAACGTTTGGCACACTATCATTGGCTGAGACGAGACATGTCATCATCTTTAACCTCCAGACACCCTGCAATGGAGATTCTGTGAGATCTTTCAAAGGGAAAATTAGGATCCCAGACTAGTATCATTGGATTCGTCTCTTCAAGACGATCCTAACACCACCATCGCGCCAAAGTTATATAAGGTATGCAAAGAGATATGAACAAGAAACCCAGAAAATAGCGAGCACCTTCAATTTGAGATTTCTCTCTCAATTCTCAATGGATTTAAAAATTGTAAGAAGCACAAGAATCAGGAGAAATAGTAGAATAGGTTAGTGCTTTATTTGGATCCAAATGGTAGAGAATTCTACCTTTTCGAAGTTCAAGAAAGAAGCTCTGAAACTGGACTTCTGTAGCTTGAATTATGGCTCGTTTTGCTTGGTTTAAGTGCTGGAGAGTTTGTATGATGCTGAAGGATGATGAATGTGAAAATAATTTTGGAAGAAAAGGCTTAAATCTTATAAACTGATTTCAAAATTTTGAAGTTCGTGTGAGGTTTTGACAACGTGTATTTGGCTCTAAAAGCTTGAGGAAATGAATGTGGGATGACCCTCTATTTATAGGGAATCAAATGGAATGTTCAAGCGTGTGAAATGATGAAGTTTGGAGGGAAATCGTGTGAACCTGATACACGAGAAAGGTGTGATCTATTTTGCATCAAAACTCATCTAATCCTTATGTTTTAAGGCTCTAATCCACTTTGGCAACTTGGTTAAACATGTTTAGATCACAAACGCGTGTTAATTTGATGTTTAGAAGTCAAAACATGAATTTCAAATTCTGACTTATGAAGAAACTTCAATTCCAAGTTACCAAGTTCAACTCAATGGCATTCTCAGCTCAAGGAGTCTTAAGGCATGATTCTTAATGCTTTAGAAAGATGAGAATACAAGCTTTGTAATAGAAAAAGAATGGAATCAAATGGATGTTTGAGCTGAAAGTTGCAATGAGTCAAAGTTGGGGAAAAAAGGTTGACTTTCCATACTTAGAAATATTTTAAATTTTTCTTCAAAAGTGACCTATAATATTTTGCATCCAAACATGGCCTTCCACTTGGAAATTTCTCTTGACCAAAAAAGATGGCATGAAATAGACCCCTTGAATGACTTTTTGAGACTTCAACCATTCAAAATCTCCAAAAATTGAGAGAGTTATGAATTGTTGAAGTTGGCAAAAAATCATGAAATGATCTATAATCTTTTGTATCCTTAGGGCATCTTCCATCCATTTTATCACTTTGCACATGAAAGAAGGCATAAAGTTCACATCCTCAAGATTATTATGAAAAAATAATAGGTTCAAGGTGATAAAAATAGACCAAGTTATGATCATTTGAAGTTACACTTGAGAAATTGGAGGCTCATCTGGAGGACTTGTAATCTTTCCTCAACATTAAGTTTCTTCCACATGAAAACTCCTTGAAACTTTTTAAGTGATTTGTTTATAACCATTTAAAGAGAATGATGTCTTTGGAATCACTCAAAAATAGCAAAAGATGAGCAAGATATACTTCTTTGAAGTTCAAAACCCTAGCTCCTAGATCAAGAAAACGCTTTGAGGAACTTTGACAATTTTGAACAAACTTCTTGTACCAACACTTTTGCTTTGTTAATAGAAGTTGTTGAAGATGATAATGAAAACTCATAGCAATCAAAACCACTCCCATATCTTGAGAATTGAGAGAATTATGTACTTGTGACCAATGTGAACAAGGCCTTGTCCAACCATGACAACTTCTTCAATCAACCCATTATACTTTTGAATCAATCTTGATAACTTTGAAATGTGGTGAACCAAAATGAACCCTGCCATGCCATTTCTTCCAAAATAACTTCAATGGCGAGGTTTGAATAATGACTAGGGCATGAAAATAAACTCATGAACCTCTGGATCAACTTGCTAAGCCACATTGCCTTTACCTACATTATTAACAAGTAAGACAAACCAAAATTATATTTTGTTAATTAGAAAGAAAGTCAAAACAAAACATGCATAATCACAAAAGAAAAATAAGTCAAGGTGCTTGATGATCTCTCAAAGAGCAAAGCTAAAGATATGGAGGAGAACCAAAAACCCTAATGTGATCTTGTTGTGATTGAATCAACATTGTATAATGAAGGGATCTTAGTGGTAAAAATTGGGGTACAACACCACGCGGCCTTCGCCGTCGTTGAATCAATAATTTTCTCAAACACATTTGCATCCAAACACTAATGGATGTAGAACAATACTTTCTGATCTTTCGTTCTCATATCTCTCTACGCATTTCTCTATTCCTTCTTCACATCTGTTGCAACCGGAACATAACCTTCGATAACAAGATTAAGAACATCTTGAACACCGAACAACACACACATTTGAATCATTCACTGATTTCAATTCTTTTCATAAAACACCAAAAACTTAGTATTCAAAGTGTTTCTGCCACTCATCTTTGTTTTGTGCACTCAAACTCAAACTCAAACCTCACAAAATACCCGTGTTTTCCAACCTCTCTATTTCTCTTTGATTTATTAATGTTTTTTTAATCTATTTGAATTGTTCAATCGGGGGATGGAGGGAGTAACAAAAAGTTAAAATGGTTTAAAAATTGCTTTTTCTAAAAAAATATCATAGTTTCATGTCTTTTTAAATTTGAAAAAAAAAGTATCCAACACAGTGGCAGTGGCAGTTGCAGTGACAAGGTTAGCATCGATTCGAATCTCTCAGTCTCAGTCAGGTTCCTTCCTTCGCTTCTCTCTGTTCTCCGCTATGATTTTCTTTCATTCTTTACCATCTCACATATCATTTCTGCGATTCTTTTTATTTTCAACCGTCAGTTCTGTTTGAAACCTAATTTCCACATTTTCTCGACAAATTCACAGATCTACGAGATATAACAAACTACTAACAAATCCGTAATAACCTTTCGTTTTGTTTCGTGTATATGTTTAAATCAGATTTATAATTTTTATTTATTTATCATTAATATATTTTTAGAATTGGATTGTTTATGTGAAATGTTAACCATGAATAGGAAATAGAGTGTGGTGGCAAAGCTAAGAAATGGCAGATCTGAGTTTGGGAGTTCTAATTGATATTGTTGATGAGGATTGGATGAGAGACACTCTCCCTGATGATGGTTTTTTTTTTTTTCTTTACATTTTTTCTCTTGTATTAATTTTTTTATTTATTTGTGTAGATAGGTTTTAGCTGTAGTTGAATATTCAAGATGAATCTTTATGCATTTTGTTTTAGAAGAGAGTGGTAGATTCTCCGGTAAGGATAATAGATTAGATGGAGAAGAGTGACACAGGTTGAAGAAGACCTAGAAAAACTATAAGAAAAGTTATTAAGAAAGATCTTGAAATTAACTATTTAGATAAAAATATGATCTTGAATGAAATATTATGACAGGAGTTGGTCCATATAACTGAGGTTTGGTTATTGATGTTGTAAGTATAAACAAAATAACAATCAAGCCTTATCTCACGGATCCGGATTCTCTAACTTTTGTCCGTCAACTACACTCTACCATTTGTTTATCTTGGTCCATATGATTAATCAAACGGGTTAAGACTGATTGTTGTTGTTATGAATATGTTCAAGATGAATTTTTTTTGCATTTGTTTATATTGGAAACATAAACAAAATAAGAAGTTGAATTATATATTGAGAATCTTTTGTTCTTTGAGATTAAGACGCATACGCTATCAATGTAAATTAGTTTTATCCTGACATGACATCCAATGAGAATCGTTTATCTTACCTTAAATCGACGAGACAAAATGTTTGTGAAACGAACAAATATAACAAATGGTCGGTTTACTTGATAGACAAAGTATGAAGAGAATGTAAGCTTAGGGTCAAAATTGGTGATATATTCTTTTAACTTGATATTAATCAGGAAACGTGAATCTGATTTTCTGTTTTTGCAGATCTTCCGCTGCCTCCTACACTGGTTGTTCGGACAGATGAAACTGAGGACTCAAGTATGTGTCTCAATTTGATTTGTGGATAATATCTTTCTTGAGCATAGTTTATTTAAAAATTGTTATATTAATCATTCATTCAAATGTTGTTGGGTAGATAACTAACTCCACAGTTGTTGATTAAAATTAAACTTTACTTGAGAAGTTGCAATTGAGTAGAATTGCTTCAATGAAAGTATGGTTTTGACATACATCTGTACTCTTATAATTTATGGAGCACAAACACCGACACTAGACACGTTACTGATACTCACACGTACCAGTATTAATTTAAGAAAAATAAAGTGATTGAATGCATGGTTATCAAAGTCACGATTTAAATCTTAAAATCTTACGATTTTACGATTTCACTCATCCCCAACGATCTAGATTTTAAGTAGAATCGAGTGTGGTAGTCAAATTGTGAAAAAAATGGCAAAACTAATGATTATGTGCGATTGGCCAATTCCGGCCATTTTCCGGCCACTACCATTACAAGCCGAGAAGGATGACAAGATACAAAGGTACAACAGTTTCGGTCCGGCGGAGTCCATTTTCCCACGAATTCACTTGCCTACGAAAATATCATGTAGAAATACTTCAAAAATCGTAGTATTATTTTCCATTTAAGTAGTAATTTACGATTTTGTTACGATTTTATGTTTTGCGATCTTGCTACCCCCTCTCGATCTTACAAAAATAATTGAGTAGGATCTTTTGATCTTAGTTACGATCTTATATTTTACGATCCTACCATCCCCTCCCGATCTTATACAAAATCCCGATTTTGACAACCTTGATTGAATGTACTCATTTATGTCGGTATCGGTTGGAGGATTGTTTCTGGCTTTCTTGTTGAGTTTCTAACACAATGTGTTTTGCTGTTGATCAGATCAGGAGGCACAGCAAGTTAACGGGGAAGTTTGGCACGAGCTGGCCCTTGGCCAAGACTAGAAGTTTCAATATGCTTAGCAGTAAGTAGATGATATTGCTTCCAGTTACTGGACTAGGCACCTAGCTTTCTATGTACGTGATATGTATCAAGAAATTCGGGTTGATTTCTGGTTGCTTGCTGTCTTAAGCACTCTCTTTGTATTTTTGCTTTAAATTCTAAAGGCAACATACATGTAGAATGTTTTTCTCGTCCATGCATAAGACCTATAATATTCATTGCAATCCTGTTTATTTCAAAGTGGATGTTATGTCTATTAGAGATGTAGTTTAGCTTGCTCACTTTAGCTAGTGTTGTTACCTAAGTGATAACTAACTATACAAGTTATTTACCCTAGCTGTCTAAGATTGCTGACACTTATCAGTTTGTAATAGGGTAATCTGTTGTATCAGTAAACAGTTTGCAATTATAAACGTTAATTGTTTCTCTATCTTGTAACTAACTTTCACAATAATAAAAATCAATTGCAACTGAAATGTATTCTCTATGATTTCTATTACCGTCCAAGAAAATGCTGACAAAACATAATACTATTATTGTACAACTTAGTTAAGTTTAATGAATAAAAAATGGTAGGAAGCAATAGTGAGGTTGAAAAACCAGCGGCTCCAGGGACATTTTGTTGGTATTTATGGACCAAAAATAACAAACTTTTTACAAACATACCATCTTTTTATAAATTATTCACCAAAATACCATCTTTTTCCCAATAAATCTTAAAGTACTATGTTTTAAAAAAAAAAAAGATTTTGTTACTGAAGAGCCGCTTATTGTTTTGGCGGTTCTGAGTTATTCTTTTTTTCAAAATTTTATTCACCTGTAGATTTTTCTGTGGATTTTCTTGCGGATTCTATAACATAATACTTTTATGGAATTACCTGTGTATTTTATAACAAATAGACAAATTTGCAGGTAATTCTATAAGAGTATTATAATTTATAGAATTTGTAGGAAAATCCACAGAAAAATTCACAGGTGAATAAATTTTTTTAAAATAAATAACACAGAACCGCCAAAGCAATGGACGGCTCTTCAGTAACAATTTTTTTTTGAAAACATGATACTTTAGGATTTAGTAGGAAAACAATGGTATTTTGATGAATAATTTGTAAAAAGATGGTATGTTTGTAAAAATTTCAAAAATTACCATATATATTAAACACACTGGTCTCCTCTTTGCAAAGATATGGTGGAGATATAGGGGGATTGTTCGATATACTCCATGAGTTACTTATACATCCTGACGAAATTTTAAAAATAATCCTCAAATTTAGATTCTAAAATCCGGACGCACTTAACACACAATAAGTCCACTCTAGAACATGGCAAAGATAGAGATTGAAATCCGGACACTTTTGTTTAAGTATTTGTGTCTTTCCCTCTTCCTTTTCATTTTTATTTCTACAAATAAAGCAAAACTAAAGAACTGGATAATTTCTTCTCATTTGCGTTTTCGGAACTTGTTCCATCATTTTTCAAGCATTACCAGAGCTTTTATACATTGCATTGAAACTTAGCACGTTTCTACTTCAATGTGTTGTACGTATCTGAAGCTCTACTTTATTGCATTGTTAAGTTATTCATTGTCTTTCCTCTTTTGATTTCATATGCATTCATAACCTAAATGGTTTATAGGTAGAGGTGAAAATAGGCTGGGCCGAACTAGGCTTTGTCATGTTTAAGTCTGGTCTGTCAAAAAAACTGAAACCTAAATCTGACTTGTAGTCTGTCATAGGTTTATTTTTAGGCTTGAGTCTGACCTTTTCTACGGTGTGGTTAGCCTGTTAGTCTACATAAAAACCTATTATTTTAGACATATGTAAATAAGTAAATTCAATTAATGTTTAAATAGACTAACAAACTAAAAAAATCAATGAGACTAAAATTTTGTTTGCATTGATTTATTTTAATTTACCTATTAGCTTAAGTTTTGTGAGACTATTTATTTAAGAGGACTTGTGAAAACAACTTATAACAGTGTTCATAAAGTATTTTCATCTTATTTTCATAAGTTCTCTAAGATAATCAAGTTTTATTTTTGTACTTTGATTCAAAATACAAAACATAACATAATGATAATAAAAAAATTATTCATATTTATTTATATAGGCCGGCCTGTTAGGTCCAAAAGACTTTTTTCATGGCCTGAGCCTAGTCTTTTTAACTAAATAGGCTTATAAAAAATCCTACACCTTTTTTATTAAAAAAGAAAGCTTGGCATGACCTGAGCCTATGTAGGCTAGACCGTAGGCCCTTGTTATCGACCTAGCCTATTTCCACCCCTATAAGTACGATACATTTGGCTTATATGCAATAGATATGTCATTTGTGTTTGTCCTAAACTGTATTGCTTTGAATTTTTGAATATTAGAGCTTAGGGTTCGTGCATGCTCTGTTTTTGCTTCGTGTTTTTGGTTATGTGTAGTCCGGATTGTGAAATTTGAACTCTTAGTCCAAAGAATAAAATTTGGAATCACATGTTATCTGTTTTTCTATTGGTTTTTTTATCTTCTTGTTTATGTATTCTATTATATCATGTCTTTATGCTTGTCTGATTGTATAAAAAATGTCTCACGGTAAAAAAATGATTGAGACATAGTTGAGTGATCTAACATGCTTTCGATCGCACGGAGAAAGTTAGACCCTTACGACCTCGAATTAGAGAGACTTCGTTTACTGGTGAATGATTGTCTCCTCAAATTCATGTATCTCTGGCACGTCTTCTCAAGTTTGTGTCCCAGACTCCCTCAGATGCCTCAGATGATGTTGTGTCTGACGAAGATTTCCCAATAGACCTATATGGCCTTTCACTGCTTCCTATGTACACAGAATTTATGAAGGATTGAATATGGTTATTATTAACCATGGGTTATTGTCTTCTTTTGTATAAATATGATATATAGAGACGTCATTGTTTTATCTTTAGATCGGTAAAATGTCAATCACACTTGATGATGTATCATGCCTCTTATATCTTTCGATCACAAAAAAAAGTTCAACCTACTCTTGAACCAGTAAATCTGTGGCACTAGACATGATGGTGACTTATTTGAGAGTTGGCCTGATAAAAGTCTAACAAGAAATAGATGGCAACAAAGGATGTCATGCTAGGTTTTCATTCTTGATGAATTTATATGAATACCAGCCGACTGCAAATATGGATGTTGATGGTGGTGATGCACAAATTGCATACCACATAGCATGTGCATTGAGGTCATACCTCTTGATTTTGGTCGACACGTCCATTTTTATGGACAAAAGTGCAACCTATGTCGACTTTATCCTTAGATATTTCATTTACTTAAAGAGGATACACGAGTAAAATTGGGAGGTTTTTTGTTTGGTGTACCTCTATTCCAAGTTAGTTGATCGTAATTTATGGAAGACTCAACACTTGACAAGAAACAACTATTTATTTACAATTTTTTGCATCCTTACTGAAATTAATTGCATACTAATTTTGCTATTTAATTACTAATATTTTATCTGAACCATTTTTCAAGCATGGATCTAACAGTATTTTCCACGTCTCCGAGTTGGGCACACGTGAAAGACTAGTCTGAGACTTTGCCACATGCGTCCTCGATCTTCCTGCTTAAAAGGAATCAGGCAACCGAGCCATTATGAGTTATTATTGACCGTATAGTGTCGAATGATATTTGATTTATGTCGTACGGTGAGCATCGTGACATATAATTCTTGCAGATGATAGCCTTGTACTCTGGTTGATTGACTTATGAGTCTCAACTTATGTACCTCACGCTTACCTGAGAGAGTCCTGCAGAATTTCGAGTATATGTAGGATATACCTAAAGACACCTTCATTGTAGTCTGCAAGGATGTTGATGAGATTTGTGCTGCGTAATATGATCATTTGGTCTAAAAGGATATATGTCGTGTACCAGTTCCTCGCCAAATGTAAAAAAAATTCCCCAAGAATAACTCATCTAGAGATCTTAAAGGAGGGATAGACAAGAGCAGAACATGTTGTTGACGTATTGTCCATATGTCATTGTATTTTGTCTATTGAGAGAGAGGACGTAGCAAGGAGCAAGATTGAGGAAGACACTTCTCAGATGGCCACTTAACATGCCATCTTACCAAAGGCAAGACATCTTTGCAATATAGGCGACATAAGAGAAACAAGGAGGTCATAAACATACATAAGTTATCTTCTACTTAAATATATTTTCTTAAGTATTTTCAATTCCCTTATTTAGGTGTTTTTAACTTTTTGATTCCCTTATTTTAAAAATCAATTTTTTTTTGCCTAAAATTTAATTTCCTTGAAATTTTATTGATTCCCCTTTAAATTTGCAATAAAAAAAATCATTTTTAATAACGATTAGAATAAAAAAAATTATTAATCAATATTTAATATTATTAGAAATAATTATATTTAAAAAATTCAAAAAAATAAAAATAAAAATTATAATAACTTTCAAATATTTTCATACAGAATAAGTTAATAATTATAAATCTTATTAATTAAAATTGTTACGTCTCTTAACAATTTTTTTGGAGTTAAAACTAAAATTAATTTAATAATTATTAATATTAATTTATTTTTTATTTTAATTTTAATTTAAAAAATATTTATTCTTATTATTGTAACTAATTTAAATAAATTATTAATTTTAATTTAAAAAATATTAACCCAATAACTCTATAATCTCTCTTTATGATTTCTAATTAATTAATATATTATGTCGATAAGAATCAAAGACTTTTGCTCCTGAATTCTTGGAATATGCTGATGCTCAGCGACAGATTTACAACTAAGGAGGTTTATCGTGAGATGCAGAATCATAACAGCACGGGAGATTAGCTACTAAATTCTGATTGAAAAAGCTTGGCTTCTTAGATGATGAAACATGTAATTTATGTGCACAGCAACTTGAAAACTCTGATGCTTCCATCAATACAATTTATCAGTTCAAGCAAATTGTTTAAATGATATAACAAAATTAAAAAAATACTTCATTCATGTTTCCCATCCAAT